GCTCTTTGTGCTCCCTCATCGCGGCATGCCTGGCCTTCACCGTGTTCGCGAACTTCTGCGGGGGCGGGGGGGAGGGGCGAGGTTCAGACAGAAGAAAGAGAAACGAGAAGGAGAGCAATCCTTCACGATCGGCGGCGCGGCCGCGAAGGGCGTCAGGGCTGCCTGCATGCCCGCGACATCCCTGGAAGCGATGGCCCCCTTCGGGGGCATCCCTCTGCGGGTGATTCCCATGAAATATGCCTGGGCCACAATGGCTGTAAACTACATTTGTATGTGTATATATATATATATGTATGTATAGAATACACGTGTGTATATATTGCATATATATATATATAAAAATACATGTATGTATGTATACATATTTACATATATATATATATATATACATATATAAATGTGCCTATAACATAGATGCTCGGGGCCACTGCCTCGGAATCAGCATCGGTAATCCCGCGTGCTCAATATATAGGACCCACGCGCTTACATGCAAACATCATGGGTACATAACAACTCATGGGTACCGTGCCTATGACATGGGGGCCACGACCCTCTGGGCAGGACGCCATCAGGGGAAGAGGGAGAGTATATTCATATTGAGTAATTGTGGAGGGAGGCGCCCCTGCCGCGGGCACCCGGGCGGATCTCGGCGGCCCCCACGCGACGAGAGCCCTCTGGGACGCAAGGCGTCGAAGCTCTACGGAGGTGTTCGGACGTCGTCGTCGGCCCCCAGCGGGCCTTCAGCCCGGGAATGCTTTCCAGCAGCTGCGCCTCGCCGAGAGTGCCGAGCATGTTCTTTGGGGGGAGGGCACAGGGTGAAATCTGAAATGCTGTTCCGATGGACCTCCGAGGCTCGAATCTGCAAAAGGTGAATCGCACGACGGATTGGCTTTCGAGGTGCACAGGCCCATATGGATTTCACCCTGAGCCCTCCACCCAAAGCAAACGCTTCGGAGTGTTCCGGGGGTGGCCGGATCGTCCCGATTTGCCGCAGGGGAGCCGAGCTATGCCCGAAAAAGCTTGGGGGGGGCCCAAACGGTGCAGTGACCACACCGCGTGGCGAGTCAGAGGGGACCCGGGGTCACCGCACGGTTTGGGGACTCGGGCCGTTCTCCGAAGTTGTCTCGAGCAACTGGGGGGGTCCCAGTGCGGTGACAGGCCGTGCGGTGAGGTCGTTGGGGATGCCGAGGGCACCGCACGGCCTGTCGCGCAGCAGTGCCCTGAGCGATGATTGATACTCCAGACCTGTTCGTCGGCGTCGTCGCCATTGAGATTCTTTGAGTGTCATCTGCAAATCTCTCCCAGTGTCAGGAGACTACGTTCTAAATCGTTCCCCCTGTTTCTTTGTGTCTCAGCCGCCATCTCACATGAAGAGTGGCATTTCGCCAGGGTGGCCTTTTGGTGCTCGGGGGCGGCTTCTTGCCTAAGGATTGTTTTAAACCAAAAGTCGCTCGGGCTCCTGCGGATTTGCACAAGCCATCGTTTTTGTTCAACCGCGTCATGACACGCTACCGATCGTACCCCTCGCCCGCACATGTCTGAATCGCAAGAACGCCATTGCGCGTGCTGTTGCAATAATCGCTTCTATCAAATGGGGCGAAGTGCACGCGCGCGCGTCGACGCGTGCGCATGCTGGAATCTTCCCCAAACCGGAGGTTTCGTCAGGATTGCAAGATCGGGTGGCCCGAAAACGTCAAAAAAAACAGCACATCGTTTTACAACATCAAATTTCATTGAGATGAAAGAATGCCTGTGCTCGCGGCCTTGTGAATGCTCAAGATGACCATCGGTGTTTCAGCAGATTCATCGAATTGTACCAAGCGTGCCTCTCGCACCGCATGCCGAAATCATTCGAACGCCCCTGCGCGCGCTTGGGAGGGGGCACGATTCATCTCAAATAATATCAGGCGGGCCACATTCGCGTATCGGCCGCGCTCGCATGGCGAACCCTTTCCAAAATCCGTAAGGGCTTCGCCCCATGCCGCCGGCCCCCTGTCTCGGATAATGGGAGATGCAAAAGCTAAATCATGAGGTCTGGGCGCCGCCGTGAAGCAGTGTCGGGACCTGTTTGTTTTTCGACCCTGACCCTACGGATCTGCGTGAGGGGTGCCAGCGAATTTCAGAAATGTGGTAAATCCCCTGTGTTTTTGGACCCTGACCCTGTCGATCCGCGTGAGGGGTGCCACCGGATTTCAGAAATGTGGCAAATCCCTTGTGTTTTTGGACCCTGACCCCGCCGATTTGCGTGAGTGGTGTCAATTTTTACGCACCCCAGCAATTCAGACAACACGCTCAGGGCGTGCTAAACCTGCCCGTTTGGGCCTCCCCCCCCTCGCGCGGTCCATCAACAAGGAACAGTAAGCAGCAAGAAGCAGAACTGTAACAGTGCAAATTGGAACCTGCAACTGGTACACGACACTGCGAACCTTCGGCCTACAGCCTGGTGGCCCCACAAGGAAGCCGGCGGATCTTCATCAGCGACGCGAGGACGCGGTCATCCTCGTTGGCTTGATCAGCATCGGCGCCGTCGTTGGCCGTGCCGTCGTCGATGTCAATATTGTCACCGTTGTCGACGTTGCCATGGTACCGCGCCCGCCCAAGTCGCCGACTCGCAATGAAGTGCCCAAAGGGGAAGTGCCCAGCGGCCAGCGACGCCGCGGCCGCGTCGGTCCCGCCAAAGCAGCTGGCCGCTTCGCGCGCGAGCATGCGCGGGCTAGCGCGACCGCGGCGATGCGCCAGCCAGCGCCGAGCAGTCATCGCAATCGCCGCCGCATGGGTTATGCAAACCAAGTTGCCGGTGGGCGGGTGGGGTGACTGCGCGAGCAGTGGATTTGAAAACCTCAAGATCGGCTGGGTGAATTTCACCGCATAAGTTGTACCACGTAGGCTGCACCACATATCTTGCACAACATAGGTTGAACCGCGTAGACTGCTCCACACGCATTGCACATTGCACCACACAGACTGCACCACAGAGATAACACAACGTAGAATGCAACATATTAGTTGCACCACGCAGGCTGCACCTCGTAGACTGCGCAACCTAGATGAACCGCAAAGATTGCAAACTGCACCACATGGATTGCCCAACGCAGGTTCTCATTTCTAGAGGCAAAACAGACTCTACACCCCTCCCCCCCCAGACTGCATGGCCCCCCTTCGCGTATTGAAAACCTCCGTTGTCAAAAAACAGTTTACAAAAGCATGGGACGAAGTGCACGCGCGCACGCGTCGTGGCGCGCGCATGCTTGAATTTGTCAAAACTGGAGGTTTCGTAAGGGTGCCAAAATCGAACGCCCCGTAAACATATACGAAATCGCGTGGCTGTGAAGCGAGAGTTCCCAAAACAAGCATGCAACCGTGCTCTTTAGAATTCTTCTGGGAAAAAACAATTTGTATACATGTATACATTTATATATATACATATAGAACGAAGTGCACGGCGTTGGGGCTAAGCGCACGGGCGTTAGTCGTCGCGCGCATGCCGGAATCTTTTGGAAATTTCAGGTTCCGCAGGAAGTTCAAAATCGAGTGCCCCGACAAAAAACATATAAGAACATATAGTTGCGCAGCATCCATTTTCAAAAAGAGTTGTCGCTCGCTCTCCTGCGAATTCTCAAGAAAACGATAAGGCTTCATCCTGGTTTTTTCGCGCCTCCAAAAAACACGCGCGGGCCACTCGCGCGCCGGTCGCGCGCGCATATCGAACTCCTTCCAAAACCTTCATTGTCGCCGACGCGAGGACGCCGTCGTGGTCGTCGGCACGATCCGCATCGGCGCCGTCGCTGGCCTTGCCGTCGTCGTTGTCATCACCGTCACCAGCATCGCTACTACCATCATCGTGTCTACCGTTGTCGACGATGCCATGATACCGCGCCCGCCCCAGTCGCCGACTCGCATTGATGTGCCCACTGGGAAGTGCCCAGCGGTCAGCGCAACCGCAACCGCGTCGGTCGCGTCAAACTAGCTGGCCGCTTCGTGCGCGAGCATACGCGGGCTAGCGCGACCGCAGACATGCAACAGCCAACGCCAAGCACCCATCGCAATCGCCGCCGCATGGGTTTTGCAAGCCAAGTTGCGAGTGGGTGGGTGGGATGGTTGCGCGAGCAGTAGAGTCGACAACGCACTGCGAACAGAAGTTAATGACACCACATGGATTGCACAATGCAGATTGCTAGAAGCACATTGCTTGGGGAACGGCGCCGCCGAGACCGCGCAGGGGCCCAGTTCCTTAGAACAGAGATCAGAACCTTTGCGAGCACACTTGGGGGAACGTTGGGGGATCTTGGGGGCTTCCTGAGGCTTTGGGAGCCCATCGGACATGCAAAGGGCCGTTGTTGGGCGCGCCGGGGCTCCTCTCGGAACTCCTTGCGACGCTGCTGCGGGGTGCCCCTGGGAGTCCTTGGGGGGCTGCTTGGCGACCTGGAGCACGTTGGGGGGCATCTCCAAAACGCGTTCTGGAAAGTTTGGGCGGCTGTGTGGGACGCATCCCCCGGAGCTTTCGTTGTTAAAGATAGTTGCCGCTCGTCGGCTTCTCGTGCCGCGCCCAGGAGTTCCTGCACAACTGCCCACGGGGGCCTGCTCGGGTTCGCCCGTGGATGTTGCATTGCAGTCTCAACGGTTTGGCAGTCGAACCGCTGGGAGGCGATGGGGATTTCGAGCGACACGATGGGGATGTATTTGTCAAATTGGCTGGTTGTTGGGAAAGTTCTCCATGGTGCATGGCTTCCTGAGTCGCCCGGGGTGGTTCGTTCAAGATCGCTCTAAGGTTCGGCCTCGGTTGTCGATCTCGTTTCAGCCTTGTCATCGAGCCCGCCTGAAAGCATGGGGCTTTTTGGAGGCCCGACGGGTCTTGCTATCACGATGCAGATCCGCGGGAAGCGTCATGTTGCCCCTTCTCCTCATGTTCCCCCTCTCTCGTTCCTCCCTGCCTCGTTCTCATCCTCCTCCTTCGCCCATCCCGGCCGCCCTCCTCCTTGCCAGCTCATGTTCCCCCCAAGGCGTCATCTTGGATCACCCGCGACAAGTACCCGTTGGCCCAGCCGCAGCTGGAGGAGTTGCGCCTCGACCGGAGGGCCAGGGGATTTCCCCCTTCTGGCGGGTTGTGTCTATCCAGCGGTTGGGGAGTTAGTGCCCGCTCCTTCGCTCTCTCTCGTCCTCCTCATCGTCGTTGTCTTCGTCCCGTCCTCGCGTCGTTCATCCTTCTCCTGGTGTCCGCAGCCCTGGCAAACGCCTCACTTTTTCCTTACGCCCAGAGATCAAGGCGAACCAGGCGCCGGCCCAGCGTCTGGCAGCACGCCGGCCCAGCGTGAGGCCGCCGGCGCTGCGGCGGCGAGTGGTGCCCAGCTTCCCTCCCCCGCCCTCCTTCCCTCCTCCTCCTCCTCCTCCTCCTCCTCTTCCTCCTCCGCCTCCTCCTTTTTCTCCTCCTTTTTCTCCTCCTCCTCCTCCTCCTCCTCCTCCTCCTCCTCCTCCTCCTCCTCCTCCTCCTCCCTCCTCCTCCTCCTCCTCCTCCTCCTCCTCCTCCTCCTCCTCCTCCTCCCCCTCCTCTTCCTGTGGAATCGCGTGGACGTGTGCATCTTTTCTTGGCGACCACCATCGAGGGGCATTTTGGCCCAGATGGGAAAAACAAGCGCACGAGACCGACAAATGCACGTGCAATGGACGTCCGAGCGATGGCAAGTTCCGTCCTCTGAGTTCACCCGCAGGGAAGCGACTTGCGAGGTGGCGCGCCTGGCCGCGGCGGGTCGTACTGTGTCGTTCGGGCTCGAGTGCCCGGAGCACAACGGCCAGCACCCAAAGTAGACGTACTTTGGGGAGGTCAGTATCTATAGGGGAGGAGGGTCCAGCGCCCATCCGAGGAATCCGCGCGGACATCCGAGTTTTCATGCTCATGTCATTGTTTGTTCCCCTAGCACCGTGTAACCTGTCCCCGTCCCCCTCGGGCCATGGTCTCTCAGCACCGCCATCACACCGCCCCAGCTTGGGATCTGCCCCCTGAGACCGGAAGGGAACAGCCTATATCCCCAGCTCGGGGGGTCAATCGGCCAGTAGGGCCCAGGCCACGCCAGTGGGGATAGGGAGAGGAGGAGGAGGAGAAGGAGGAGGAGGAGGAGGAGGTTGAGGAGGAGGAGGAGGAGGAGGCGCAAGAGAGGAGGAGGAGGAGGAGGAGGAGGAGAGGAGAGGAGAGGAGGAGGAGGAGGAGGAGGAGAGGAGAGAGGAGGAGGAGGAGGAGGAGGAGGAAGGAGGAGGAGGATTAGAGGGAGGGAGGGAGGAGGGAGGGAGGAGGAAGGGAGGGAGGGAGGGAGGGGGGAGGGAGGGAGGGAGGGGGAGGGCGGAGGGAGGGAAGGGAGGGAGGGAGGGAGGAGGGAGGTATGAGGGAGGGAGGATGAGGGGGGAGGGGAGGAGGAGGAGGAGGAGGAGGAGAGGAGGAGGGGAGGAGAGAAGGAGGGGCGAGGGATGAGGAGGAGGGATAGGGGGGGGGACCCAGGACTCAGGACCCAGAAGTCCGCGAAAGGGCTCCAGAAGCTGGGGTCTCGGACCCCGCCGTCAGGGCTCACTTGGCCGCAGACGCCCCGCATATCCTGAGCCCGGCCAGTTTCTCAGAGAACTGACCTGGAGGGGAGGGGTCCAGATGCCTACTGGGGGGACACTCAAGACGCTGAAAGAAGGACCACTCTGGCCCCAGGAGGGTCTCTGGCTCCCGGCCCGCTCCTCAGATCTAGGTCGGGGAACCTCCTCGTGGCCGAGTGCCGCCGTGGTCAGAAACGCCCCTTCGTTTCTTGTCCTCGTCTGGCGCTCCTTCTGTCGGCGGCGCGCCTGTGGGGCCAAGCGAGAGGGCCTTCTCAGAAGGCGGGGCAGCCCTCCGGACTTCTTCTGAGACGCCCTCGCCTGCGCTGCGAACGCAGCGCGGCAACCGGCGGGCTCCCCGTCGACCCCTGAGCGCCACGGATCCTCCGAGCACCGCAGGGCCTCGGGGGCCAGTGCGGCAATAAGCTCCAATCCTCGGCCTCCGCTGGACCGACAATGGTTCCGCCCGCTGGCCCCAGCAGCCTCGGCCGCCTCTCCGTGGGGGGGCAGTTGGTCGCCCTGGACCCACGCGTTGATAATCCCCCCGGGCCACACACGGAGAGAGCCGAGGATCACGGGGACGCGTGTCAGCCTAATGTGTGTGTATGTGTATACTCCGTTCGGCTGCACGGATAGCATAGCAGCTCTTGCAGGCCTCCTAACACCGCGTGCGTCGCATCCCATGCTTTTGGTTAGCAACGACACGTTGGCGCTACCACAGGTTATGAGGAGAGACCATCGCCGATGCATCGCCAATGTATCGGCGATGCGGCGCGACCCTGCGACCCCATCTACTCCGACCCCATCTAGGGGGCCTCTAGTTGGCGCTAGCACCGCCGTGGTCGAAAACATCAATCCGCCCCGAGTTCTTGGGCAGCGAGTTCACGCGAGCGCGAGCGAGCGGGCGCCGAAGGGGAGGAACTGCCTCGGGTGGATCGAGCGCGGCGCCCTGGACGGCGGCATCGTGCACGGAAGGGGTCAGGGGCTTCTGCGCTCGGGCCTGCCAGCGAAGGGGGGAGAGAGGGAGGAGGCAAAGGGCGGCGGAGGGCGGCGGAGTTGGAGGGAGGGTGGATGAGCGAGGATGGAGGCGGAGGGGAGGGAGGAGGAGGAGGCACAGGAGGAGGAGGAGGAGGAGAGGAGGAGAGGGGAGGGAGTAGGAAGGATGGGGAGGAGGAGAAATAAAGAAGAGGAAGGAGGAGAGGAGCAGGAGGAGGAGGAGAAGGAGAAGAAAGAGCAGGAGGAGGAGGAGGAGGAGGAGGAGGAGGAGGAGGAGGAGAAGAAAGAGGAGGAGGAGGAGGAGGAGGAGGAGGAGACAGGGAGGAGAGAGGGAGAACGAGGACGAGGAGGAGGAGGAGGAGGAAGAAAGAGAGAGGCCTCCTCACTCGTTCGTAGGCCGACGAAGAGCATGTGAGTTCCGCCGCCATGCTACCGAGAAAGCACAGCCTCCGAAAGGCCTCCGGAGGGCCTCCAGAGAGTTTGGAAAGGGCCAAGGACGTCCAAAGATTTCGAGCCGCACTCTTCTTGTCTGGAGATCCGACGTCGCGAAGCAAAGGCAACACCGTGAAAACCATGACCAAAGACCCACCCATCTTTCCGCGGCACTCCTCGAGCCGCGTTGACGTGCGAGGGCTCCCGGGCGCGAAACCGGGCGACGATTCCCAGCGCGGAAGCATTGCGAGTCCAGGATCTCGGGGTCCCCGCCTGCGGTCGGGAACTTTTGGCCAGCGTGTCGCTCCGCCGGTTCTGGCCCACCGCGCTCCTGCGCGACACGCTATCCACATCCTGGCCCCCAGGCGTCAACGTCCCGAGTGTTTCCCCTTCCCCCCGCCCCGCGGAGCGGAGCGACACGCCATCCGCCTGCAGGGTACAGCGTGTCGCTGGGGCCGCCGCCGCGGCACGCTGAGCCGAAGTTCCTGACCGTGGGGCTGCGAGGCTGTCCCGCTGAATCGGAGGCGGCGGGCGGGACCGTACATGGACAATAGATTCGAACCCTTACACATTTGAGGGAGATTCTAAATCACCCCCGCGCCCCCGACATCAATGTTGATCTCAGTAGAGGCGGTGCTTTGCGGTTCGAATATTTCTGTCCACTCACGCCCCCCCCGTCGCCACGCCATCAATATTAATTTCGGTGGGTCTGGGGGGCATCTTGGGCCACAGGGTTCGAATATGATGTCCATGTGCTGGAGTGCCGGGGGAGACCTGCGGGTGCTGAACCTGGGGCACAACCAGCTCAGCCACCTGCCGGAGGACTTTCTCGAGGGCGCCAGGCGCGAGCTCTCGCCGCCCGGTCCTGTGGAGGTCTGGTCGTCTCGATGTGCTTCCCGTCGGCAGCTCCTCTCGACAGCTCGCCACTCCTCCTCGACGGCCCCTGCAGCTCTCCTCTCGACCGCTCGCGCCGCGCAGCCCTGCTCCCCCCTCGATGTGGCTGGCCATCTGAGCGCCTGGCTCGCGAGCCGTCTCCTGCGCTCCTCGGTGCTTGAGGGTCTTGCGGGAGAAAGGGTCCTTGCCCGAGCCCGAGGTGGGCTCGCATCGCGGAAGAACGCCGATTTATGTGATCTGTCGTCGCATTATCCACGACGGGGGTTGCTTCGGGCTTGTCGGCGAGGGTGGCGCCCCTCCTCCCGCAGATGGACAAAACACGTGGAACCCTTGACTCCGCCCTCACCCCCGCTCTCCTCCGAGATTCAAAATTGGTTCCAGGCTTTCGGCAGCACAGGCGTGAGAGGACAAAAGAAGTGGAACCCCCAGGGCCTTCGCGAGGCCAGACCCAACTTTGAATCCGGGGGGGCGAACACAGGGTCGAACCTGAAGCGATTCTACCGTGTTGTCCCCTTACCGTCCCCCCAGCGCTAGTCGGTATGCCCCCGCGCCCCAGCAAGCTCCGCCTCCTCGACCTGTCGAACAACCAGCTCGACGAGGTGCGGCTGGCAGAGAGCCTGTTGTCCAAGGATCCCGCATGCCGAGAGATCGCAGCAGACTCCCACCAGGCGAGAGAGGTTTCTCACTCTCTGTCTCTCTCGCTCTCTCTCTCTCTCTCTCTCTCGCTCTCTCTCTCTCTCTCTCTTTCTCCCCCTGTCTCTGTACATGTGTACATCTACATGTGTAAGTGTGGATCGTTATCCCCCCTCTCTCTATGTACACATACATACGCACACATTTATATGTATACTTGTCCTACCTACGTCTATAGTGTTGTACCGAGTGTGTTGTGTATTTGGCTGTCTCGTTCTCTCTCTCTCTCTCTCTTTCTCAGCCCCCACCCTCGATATCTCGACATCGCTGTTTTTCAACACTGCCGAGGCGTTTGTTTGTTTTCCCCTAAATCCAGTTTTCGATCTGAGATAACTTAAGTATGAGCGACCTGGGAGCGGAGCCCGAGACCTTGAAGCGGAGACTGACAATCATCACAGTTGTAAGTGGTAGATTTGGAAGGGGCGGGAACGCGCAAGTTATGAGAAAGCTGCAGTCGAATCGGACATGTATCATTGAACACTAGTAAAGAAGGCGCAGGCTGGTTGGGGGGACTGCGGTGAGCTAAAAACTTTCAATACTTGCGCAAGCGACTGCCGCGAACACTGAGGGGGGAAAAGCAATCAGCAAACTGCACGCGAATTGAAGCAGATCGGACAGACAGCGAAATTCAAACGTGAACGATCCAACGAACTGGGATCATTCAAAACGGCCCCCTTCTCGAATGGTTTCCGAGCATATTCCGAGAGCTTCCGTGCTCCAGCAGGCACCGCGCTCGGAGCTTTGACGCGGCGGTCAGGGGGTATGCCGTTGGGGATGAGGCAGGAGGCAGGGGGAGGTAGAAAAATGGAGGGAGGAGGACGAGGATGACAAAAGGAGACGGCGGAGGAGGGATGAGGAGGAGGAGGAGGAGGAGGAGGAGGAGGAGGAGGATGGACGAGGGAGACCGAAGAAAGGAAGGAACATGATTGTGGTGGTCACTGCATGAGAGGACAAGTCCCGAGCAGGGGCAATACGCACCACAGCAGCCACGACGACGACAACAGGAAGAGGAGGAGGAGGAGGAAGAGGAGGAGGGTCAAGATGCTCGTCCGACCTGCTCGCTGGTGCGAGGAGAGCATGCTGGAGGTCCTGCTCCTGGAGTGCAACAGGACGGGGCGCTTGGCCGGTGGACCCCATGCCCCGTCCTCGCCCCTCCTTCCGCCAGTCCGTTCCCCTCCCCTTGTCCCTCCCTTCTTCAGGAGGGGAAAAAAGCACACAGACACAATGAATCGTCGATTCGCCCGAAAATATGGGGAAGCATGGGAAGTGGGGGGGGAGGCAAAAGCCCAGAACATATGGGAAAGTATGGGGAATCTTGTTATTTGCGTGTATTTATTTGTGTGTCCCAGGGCTCCTTCACTTCTGGATGTCGCACCACCAGACGTGCCTGCAGGCCGGGGGGGGGGGGGGCGCGCCGCTTGAGACTGCACTGCGCTGCGTGATCCTGCAGGTGCATGGCATTGAGCAGCTGCACTGGTGCAGGGTCCGTGGTCTTGAAGATGCTGCTCTCGCCTCGGCGCCGCGCGCGTTCTCGTTGCTTCCCCCCCAGGCAGCTACACAGATGGAGGGCTGGTGGCTTCCAAAACGCAGCTTGATTCAAAAGCTTCGACAGCTATCAGGATGGAGGCCGGCTCGTCTTCAAAATGTGGCCTGTGCCTCACTGTCGCGCACACTTGTCGTGAAACTCCCACCCGCTACACGCATGGAGGGGGTATATGTTTCAAAAGTTGTGTCTCGCTTGAGCGCCCAGTATAGTCGTTGTGAAGCTAAAGTTCCCAACTGCCACAAGCATGGAGGCCGATTCGTCACCACATTCGGTTTTGCATGAGGCTTCCTCAGGACTGACGGCGCGAAGCTCCAAGTTCCAGATGTGCAACCACTGCACGAATGGACGGGCTCTTCAGTGGGTTCTCGCTGTCACAGGTGGAGGACAGATCTTCGTCATACAAGGGCGATGGTTGGACACAGTTTGAAGTTGATCTTCATATTTCTTTGTGGTCTCAGGCCGAAGGATGGAAGCTGATCGTATACAAACGTGGCCGTGCTTGAGTGGCAGGCCCACCAGTCTCTCGTCATTCATGGGAGGGGGCGCGCGCTTGCCGCCGTGGAAAGAACTCACAGGGACTTCTGAGGAGTGGACTTTAGGATGGGAGGATGCATTGCAGCATTTGTGAGGCATCTGCAGCCACGTCGCGAGGCCACGAGACCCAATCGAGCCATACATCTTGCCAATATTCTCGCAGGGCGCAGGCCCAGGGTCCGCGGCCGAGCAGAGTTGGCTCGTCAGACTTCGTAATCCCCCGAACTCGCTTCGCGACTGTCGTCGCTCACTCCCTCACTCACTCACTCACTCACTCACTCACTCACTCACTCACTCACTCCGTCTCAACTCCTCCCTAGATCCCATGCCCAGTCTGGCTCAGACGTCGCGGGCCAGATGTTATTCATCCTGCAGTGCGTTCTCCCACCAGTTGCGCGGCCACGGACCCGCCGACGCACTGCACGACGGCTCCGAGCGCCGCGGCGCTTCAGCAACCATCACGTTCCCTCGCGCAGCGCGTCTCAGCCGCTAGCCGTGCGACCACGTCGCCTCTTGTTGTTTGTTCCTCTCTCTCTCTCTCTCGTTTTCTCTCTCTCTCTCTCGCTTTCTTTCTCTCTCTGTCTCTCCCTTCCTCTTTTTGTCTCTCTCTGTCTCTCCCTCTCCCGCCCTCGCGGCACACCAGGGGAGTTACGAACCAGGCGTGGCCGCGAAGCGCAGTTAGTTCTCGCAGAAAAAAAGAGAGTCCTGTGGCGTCCTCAGGCATCCCCGCGAACCCTCTCGCCTTCTCAGATGCCTTTCGGAAGCCTCCGAGCCCTGGTCCGAAGGCCGCACCCCCTCGCCCGCCTCCCTTCCCGGCGCGCCGTCGGCGCCCCCACCTCCTCACCTCACGGTCGGACCGAGGTATGCAGTGGAGACCCATGCCAGGGAACACCCTGCTTGCCTCCAGGGTCTCCAGGGTGCCCGGGATGTCTTGGGTTGCGATGGTTCTGCGATGGAGAGCGCGATGTTCCCACACCAAAAGTCAATGGATGTCCTTGGGGCTGAGGGTTGGGTTTCTCGTGGGAGGTTTCTAGTGGACTAGCCTCCACTGTATCGAGGACGGTTCGGGGAGGGTGCCCTAATCTTCTTCGTGTGTGTGTGTGTTCGTTGGATGGTCTTGTGCATCCTGGGGAAGGGCACCCTCGCATGTTCCTCCAGTTTGGCCTGTGGAGGGTCTCATGTTCTTGTTGTGTTTTTCTGTCCCAGGCCCAGCCGTACCAACTCTTTCCCGTTCCCCATCTTCCTGGGGGCCGCTGACGCCCACCAGGGGTCCGCAGAGGCTCTTGGAGACAAATTAGACAAAACACACACACACACACACACACACACACACACACAGGAACTACGAGCATCCGATCCGCGAATTTCGATCCCCGATGATTGCCCTCTCCTGCGATGCATGCTGTCTTGTGCGAGCTGCTCGTGGCTCGAGGCGGGATCCGCGGAGCGAGGACCTTACCTCCGAGCAGCGAGAAGTAGTTCCACTGATACGCTCCCGGAACGCATCCGGAACCAATCGTATCATGACCCAGTTCTGGGCTTCTTTCGCACGCCCAGAGGTTGGCACCAACACCAAGATCGGCGGTGTGCCTCCACCGAGGGATTAAGATCCCAATCTCGGTGATGGTGGTAATATTCTGGCTTCCAAAGTGACCGAAATATTACCACCAACACCGAAATCCAGGATCATCTTCCCCCTGTGGAGGCAACCCCCTGTTTTGGTGTTGGTGCCCATTTCCAGGCCTCCAATTCTTGCCGCTCACCCCCAGCCCAGAGACCAGGGGGAGTCCACGGGCAGACCGGCCACAGCATGGAGGGCTGCGGTCCTCCTGGCCGCGCGCGCAGGGGGTGGGTGGCTCGCGCGGGGGGGGGGGCGGAGCGGCGGCTTCCTGAGAAGGCGGGGGGCGTCCCAGCAGGAAGGGGCCTTCTTGGGAGCCCTCCTGGCTGCTCCGAAGGCCTCCCAGGGGGAGGCCGAGCGTGCCCCAGGACAGGCGTGCCCGGAGAGCGCGCCGCAGGGCCCGCCTCGGGACGGCCAACGTGGCCGCGAATTTGGCGCCCACCGTAGCTGGAA